AGGCGAACTGCCACAAACTTGTGCATGCAGCACGGTGACTGCGGAGCACGCACAGCTTGCTTTCTCTGGGTCACTTACCTTCGGTCCATCAATAATGCAATTATTACTCTCATTTGGAAATGCACTGTATTCTTCAGTGCCGAAAAAAGTCGACTTCTCAAACAAAATGCATGAATAAACAGGAGGAAGCTCGCTATGAAGTTTATGAAGGAAGCAGAATTTGGGGATGAGCTACTGGCCCTATGCCTTGAAAAACCCATTCTTTCAAGCTGCATCAACCTCTATGTTGGTTATCATGGTGCAAAGAAATGGCAAACAAGTCAGCTGGAAAGGAAGCCTGCTGCTCTGCTGCCTGGCTGTAACAGGCTGTTGCTTTTGCATGATTTGATTGCCTCAAGATGACCCTATCTTTGCCTCCCACCCTCCTCCAAAACATGGCTTTGGTGCAAAGAGAAGGTGCAATGCAGATCAGTCCAGCCCCCCTCCCTGCCACCAGGCCTGGCAACCTTATAAAAACTGCTCTCATTTACTTCATTTGAAAGATTCTCAGGCTTTGCCCGAGCAAAGCTGTCAGGAGAAGAGAGGCCATGTTCAATTTGAGGAAAACCAAGTAGATCAAGGCCACCTCCATAAGCAGAGATGATAGGCCCTGGTGCCTTGCTCATGATCAAGTATTTCATCCAAATGCCTCGATTACAGCAGATTGTGGGAATTCAGAAAGTATTCTGCAAAACCTTTAGGAAAAGGTATATAACAACTCTCAACCCTCTCTTGCCCACCAGGTGACTGCAAACTCAACTACGAGGAAACCAACCCTTGCCTTTGCTCTCCAATGGGTAGTCCCAGGATAACGGTTTGGGGTCTCCACAGAGATGCCCTGGGGAGTCATACAGGAGTGGGGCTGGCAGTGACCTGCAGGTCATGTCTAGTCCAACCCCTGCCTGAGACAGGATCAGCTCTGTGCAAACCAGCCCAGACAACTATCATCTAAACTCTTCATAAGAGTATGCAAAACTCTGTATAAGGGTATGCAACCAAAATCTAAACTCTACATGAGGAGCATTTTGGGGAGCTTCCCAAATTGCGTCAGGTGCCTGGTCACAGACCTGGCCCATGGTACCCCACTGCCTGGACCTGATGCAACACTTCACAGTCATAGAAAATGAGGGTGTGACGGGACCTCAGGTCACATCTTGTCCAACCCCCTCCTCAAACCAGGACCAGCCCCAGCCACATCGATCCAATCCTATTTGTCTGTTATTTGACAGACCAAAGCTTTGTCTAGCCGGGTCTTAAACACCTCAAAGAATGGAGAGTCCACCGCCTTTCTGAGCAATCTGCTCCAGTGTTTCACCATGCTCCTAGTGAGAAAGTTTTTCCTAATATCCAACCTGCAGGGAGGTGAAGGCTGCTATTCAATCCCCCTTGGTCTTCTCTTCTCCAGACTAAATCAGCCCAGGTCTCTCAGCCTCTCCTCACCAGTCCTGTCCCCCAGCCCCACGACCATTTTCATTGCCCTCCGCTGGACTCTCTCCAATGTGTCCACATCCTTTCTGTCATGGGCGTCCACAACTGGACACAGGACTCCAGATGTGGCCTCCCCAGTGCTGAATAGAGGGGAAGAATCACTGTCCTCTGTCTGCTGGCAGTACTCCTCCCGATGCAGCCCAGGATGCCATTAGCCTTTTTGGCACCAAGGGCGCACTGCTGGCTCCTATCCATCTTCTTGTCCCCTGTCCCCCCAGGCCCTTTTCTGCAGAGCTGCTGCCCAGCCCACCACGGTGCAGGGGATTTCTCCCTCTTAAGTGCAGGACTTTGCACTTGTCCTTGCTGAACCTCAGATTTCTTTTGGCCCAGTCCTCCAGCGTGTCCAGGTCTCTCTGAGTCCTAGCCCTACTTGTCGAAGAGTCAGACAACGAAACAAATGGACAGGAGCACTCTCCCCCACAAACTTGCTGTGTGACCTCAGGCAATTTCTTGAAACACGCTGCTTCTCTCTCTGCTCATCTGTACACTGGGAACAACAATGCCTCACAAATATTTTGAACTCTACAAATCTTCACCACTAAGAAGGGGGAACCTTATTACTAAATACCTTTTATACAGTTATTTTGGGGAAATATTCAATAGAATAATGTTTGGCATATTCAGCCTCTGGCCTATTTAACTCTTGTAACCTTGAATCTTGTAAACACACAGCATTTTGATAGGATGACTGCTTTTATACTGAGTTTAATTTTAAGTCAGGATGCAAAAGCATTAATACCTACCAGTGTGTACAAAAACTTTCAAGAGATTTGTTTTCACAGAATTCTGCTCACAACAATTTTTATTCTGCAAATATGATTTCTCTGTTGCATTGGAGGATAACACCTGGGAAGACTTGGGATCCTGGCTTGTTCTCCATGGACAATACAGGCTCCAGGAAAGAGTAGGAAATTGGCTCTTTTTTCATTGCTAAAATTTCCTTCTCATTCCTTACCTGCAAACGCTGTCATTCAGCTGCAGGCCTCCCTCAAAGATGACTTGCCTTTCCGTGGCGTAAGCAAAGCACTTGGGGATCTTCTGAGATTTAAAGGCACCGGAGAAATATATTATTCCTAATGTTTATTCCCCCCACCTTAAATCAGACCTCCCGCTCCAACATCGCAACTGCTGTGATGCCACAAAGGACTGTCAAAGGGAATTAAGGAACTCTACGTTCCTGATTTTCCACGTCCATCCTTGGTAATAAACGCACAGAAAAGAGAAACATGGAAGTTATCTGACAGATCAACAGAACTGTCTCTAAATCGACTTTTTGCCAACGTTTCCCACGAGGCGTCAGCAGGCTTTTAGCTGACAGGAAGCGCCTGTTTCATCATTTCTGTCTGAGCATCTCAAGGTAAGCATGTAAATAACTAGACAAATTCAGCAGTGACTAAGTGGCCTTCCAGATGGCACCTTCCCTCTTGCCATGAGCAAAGAACATTGATATTCTTCTCCAGTTACTTGAAGCTTGCTAGAGGAAAAAAAAATTAAGTTAATGTGAGAAAATGCTGGACTTCAAAAGCAGGTCTCCAATGTTACGCTGAAAATTGTGCAGAAAAATTCTTGCTAAGATGACGGCAACAGAAAAGACAGCAGGCAGAGGTGCCGAGGGAAAGATCTCATCAGACCTAAAGAGCTAATAAGGGACAGGGTCTATTCAAAACTGACTCGGAGACCTATAGCATGAGACATGCTGAGATGAGGGGTACTATGTAAAAGGTAGGCAGGGTAAATGCGGTATCTTTTATTAGACCAACTAAATAGTTGGGGAAATTGGTCTTTGCAAGCTTTCAGGTACAAACTCCCTTCTTCTATGGAAAAGGAAGGGCTTTTTTCTTTCTCTCTTTCTTTTTTTTTTTTTTAAACTGAAACAAGGAAATATAAATGCCATCAAAAATAACAGGAAGCTGGAAGAGAGGAGCGGGTGGGCTAACTGCTTTGCACAAACTATTCTCTTAAACCAGTTTAAGAAGTCTGAAATTCTTTTATCAGCTGACAGCCCAAAAATGAGGCCCACCTGATTCACTTCAAGTGGGCAAACTAGGAGGATGAGTAGGGTGCTAAATCCTGCTCTGCTCCCGAGCTCTCCCCGATAAAAAGTCCTCTCCCCTCCCCTTCTGAAAGCACTGCAAGGAGTTTGCTTAGCCAAGAAGGACTGACAGGACACCTTCCAGAGTCCATCGGTGCTAGTGCTAGGTCAGCTGGAAGGGCTGCTGCTAAATGATGCAAGACACTTAAGCCTCCGCTGGGACTGAGAACATTGCTTCCACAGCACTTCCTCATCCTGCCAGTTCTGGAAGCAGGAAACCAGACCCAAAATAAGACACAAGTGTCTTGCACATGACTTTTGGAGAGGCAGAGTGACGCGTCAAAAACGTTTCGGGATTTCTGAGAGGTTTGGGGTCAGTCACTGACCCTGGACCATCAAGCCATGTTGCTGAAAAGCCCTACTGGCCACCACCAACCTGGAGACACCAGCCCCTCAACTCTAGTGTTGACCCTGAAATAATCCATGCCGCTGTGAACCCTGAGGCTTGAGTTGCAATGGGCTGCCTGAAGGCCCTGGCTTGGGCCGAATCAATTGTCTGCTTTCTCGGAGTCCAGTGTGAACGTACCACCCACATGCCCAAGTCTGCGCTCCCTTTCCATTTACATCTACACAAAACTCAGCAATCTGGAATGGCCTGGGACCTGAAAATCCAATGGTTGCCTATCATCCTTTACCCCATATAAACGGTAACTGAATTTGAGTAGGACACACTGGTTATTTGAGGCCACACTTGAACACCACTGGCCTGGTAAAACATACTGTAAGATTATAGGGCTGGAACAGTCATCTAGTCCAGACCCCTGTTCCCTGGGGCTGAACTAGATGACCGCGGCAGCTCAAAGTCTGAATCTGGCAGCCATCAGAGCACAAAGCAAAATAAATTTGCTGTTTTGGCTTCTTATTAATTTGTGTGTGTTTTAATTTTCTATAACCAAAGCTCCTGGGTTACTGCTAACAAATCCAATCGAAATATACGAATGCAGGGCATTGGCTCTCATCATGGCACCGCAACACCCCACCATCATCTTGTGTAAGGAAAATATGGACAGAAAAGTTAATGCAGTTGCTGAATACAAGCTGGGATCATAGGCGACGATGCACACTGTTTGCAACGAATGTTTGCTGGATGTCAGCGGTATGCTTTTGGTACACCTGAGGACCAATGGCACAGTTGATGGTATCTGGCCAAGTTTGGCAAAATGATTATATTAAATCAACGTAATGAAAATGCCCTTGGACTGATCCGCTCAGAATCTACATGAGATGAGGTTAATTACTGGAGGACTTTTGAATGACGTGAGGAAAGTACACAGTACGAAGCAGAATAAATGGATCTAAGCAAGCAAGAGAGAGCAAGAAGCAAACACACACACACACACACACACAGAGGACAGAGAGGAAAAAGAGAGACAGAAAGTACCTGGAAAGCTGTGAGTGCGCCAGTCCCTGGGTTATACAGGCATCGCAGCGAGGGCATGCTGTCCGCCAGGCTGGAGCAGCCCAGCCACAGAGATCTGGGCATAGAGCACTGCAGAGAAAGGACAACTATGAGATGGGACTGTATGAGACAGGATGGCACAGATTACAGGATCTTTCAAGGCTTAGCTGAACGGCAGCAGCAGAGCTGCAGCTGGCCTTAAAGGCTGAAACATCCTCAAGAAACACATATCCCTGATCCATCTGCCCCGCACGGGAATTTAAAGATGCCAGTGGCAAAAAGGGGAGGGGAAGACATGATGGTCCGAGACCGTCAGGCAACATTTTGCATTAGCGTGGGCACGTGTATTAAAGAAATGGACTTCTTTCCAATTAACCGGCCCTCTTATTTCACACATAGCCACCTAACACGCGTCACAGCGAATGATTCGGCAAGGAAAAAGAATAGCACATCGAGTGCTGCCGAGGAGAGAAAAGGTGCGGCGGGTTTGTTTCCTGCCCCCAGAGTGGGTGGGATAAGGCAAGGAAGGCCAGTAGCTGCCCAGAGGCAGTTTGCAAGAGTTCGGCCTTTCTACTTGTTCTGCTGCTAATTGCAAAGCAGTTAATACAGCAGACTTCACCTTTCCAGACGGATCCCGTGCACCAAAGGGGCCAGACTGCTGAAAGGAGAAAAACAGCAGCAACTGCTCATGGTTGTTCAAAAATGCAAGTACTGACAAGGTTAAAAATATGGCTGTGCTCTGACAGCCAACTTGTTCTTACCCGATTTTTTGATGCTGTAACTGCTACTGGTGGTGAAATGCTGATACATTTTAAATGGGCACCTATTTATGAAAATGGTAGGATGTGACGGATTAGCTAGATGAAATCTCAAACCATTATATTCATGTCTGCACCCCCACATCATATTAAGCCTTTTTTAAGTGGTAGGGGGCTGGAAGGAAATTTGAGTGGAAGGGACAGCTGGAATGGGTATGAGATGGCAGCTGCGATTTGGGCCACTTTTTCTGCTGCTTTGGGAGGAGTTGCAAGTTGAGCTTTAATTGAATATGTGGGAGTTATGGGGCTAATCATAGAAAATGAGGGTGGAAGGGAGCTCAGGAAGTCACATCTAGTCCAACCCCCTGCTCCAAGCAGGGCCAACCCCAACTACATCATCCCGGCCAAGGCTTTGTCTAGCCGGGTCTTAAAACCCTCCAAGGAAGGAGAGACCATAACTTCTCCAGGTAATCTGTTCCAGTTTTTTATTACCTTCCTAGTGGGAAAGTTTTTCCTAAAATCCAATCTCAACTTCCCTTGCTGGAGCTCGAGCCCATTGCTCCTTGTCCTGTCACCTGCCCCCACTGAGAACAGCCCAGCTCCATCCTCTTTGCAGCCCCCCTGCAGGGAGGTGAAGGCTGCTATTCAATCCCCCTCGGTCTTCTCTTCTCCAGACTAAATCAGCCCAGTTCCCTTGGCCTCTCCTCACCAGTCCTGTCACCCAGGTCCCAACCATTTTTATTGCCCTCAGCTGGACTCTTTTCAACCTCCCCACATCTTTTCTGTTGTGGGGGACCCACAGCTGGACACAGGACTCCAGATGTGGCCTCCCCAGTGATGAATAGAGGGGAAGAATCACTGCCCTCCATCTGCTGGCAACACTCCTCTCAATGCAGCCCAGGATGCCGGTAGCCTTCTTGGCACCAAGGGTACACTGCTGATTTGTTCATCTTGGAACGGGCAGAAAGAAGATGGCTTTTATCTGGTCCGCAATTTGCTACCACTTGGACCAAACTGCCATTAGGCACTGTTAGTCCACGTCACTAGGACACATTGCTCCAACTGATGCTCCTCCTCCAAAAATAAGTCATATTTGAAAAATTCACCAGAGCACATCATCTACAAACACCTGCATTTGAGGAGCGTCTGTTACTGTAATGCAATCTCACCTCCGTTTCATCAACTCTCCTCTTCACGCAAAGACTCGAATCCGAGAAGTCGACTACTCCTTCAACGTTAAACCTCTCCAACCCCACGCCAGGTAGAGAGATTAGCCTCCTGATAGGCAAGACGAAGTGGGAATGATTGCCAGGGTATTGCAGCAAGCAGCTGAAACCTGAGTCATGCTTCCTCGTCTGCTGCTCTAACCTACCAGACAATGCTTCCCTCCCACACACAAAAGAACTCTAAATCCCAATTATCTTCCCCCAGGCAAAAAACTCTACTTTATAACTATTTATAAAGCTCTTATCACCATAGCAGCCGAGCAACCCTAGTTCAAAAACCAACAGGGGCGTAAGGCATATATTTGTTTAAGCATTTGTCGTGTTTTTGATATGCTAATTTAAATCGGTTTAAGCCCGTGTGTTCGGCCAGGTCCCCTATTCACCGGATCCGTTTGGTCAAAGTGCTCATAGGAACGAGGAGATTAGCTATGGTGCAAAGGCGCTAAAGCAAAGATAAACGGTTCCATCTTGCTCTCCAACCCACTTAGTACAGCTGATGCTGTAAGCTGCCCTGTTAAGTGGAATTAAAAAAAAAAAAAAAACTGTAAGAAGCCCAGAGTAGAGGAGCCGAGAAGTGGGCATTTTATACAACTATCTAGAGCAGTGTTTTTCAACTTTTTTTCATTTGCCGACCCCTAAAAAGTTTTGCATGGAGGTGCAGACCCCTTTGAACAGTAAGCATGGCTATTCACATCCTGCTGACTGATTCTAGTCCTCTTTCGTGGACCCCTTAGACATAGTCTGTGGACCACAGGTTGAAGACCACTGCTCTAGAGATTTAAACCGCACCATTAGAGAGGGGTCTAAGTATCGCACAGAGCCGAAGGCTGCTTAGCCAGCATACCCAACCGTTCAGCTCACTCTGTCTACCTTTATTCTTCTCATGCATTTCCTGGACCAACTATACTTTAACCCCTTATTTTTCATAACACGGTACGAGAGGTTCATAGATTCACAGACTGTAAGGGACCTCGCCCGACCATCGGGTCCAGCCCCCTGCACTAGGCAGGAAGGACAAGCGGGGTGAGGGGACCCAAGATAGTCCTCTACTTCTGTGGACGTCAGGAACCAAATCCAACCACATGAAGCAGAAAGCAAACAATTCTTCTGGTTGCAAAAGGGGTCCATATTGCACTACCATGTACGTTTAGTGGGGTAGTCCTGCTTTGACTAGACGAGGTCCCTTCCACCCCTTGTTTTCTATGGATTTGAAAAGTCTGGACTCTCTCCATTGTAAAAAAGACACTGAAATCCTACCTTCTCTCCTCTGAAGCTGACGCTATCCAGGGAAGGGGATGTTAGACATCCATTTCATGGAGCCCTGGCAGCTAATCCACATTTACTTACTTACCTATGCAATCTAGTAGGTTAATATCATTTCAAGCCCAAAAGAGAATAGACAATAAAAAAATAACTGGTTCCTCGCCTGGCTCTTGAACCAGTCAGCTAGGATTTCTCTTATGTTCATAACAAGATTTATATTACTGCTAGAGATCCGATGTCGATTAAAAAAAAAAAAAAAAAAAATCAAGATTTGTCGTCTTTAAAAGACCAAAGGTGCGCTCAGTGGGGGAAAATGTCACTCCTGTACTTACTTTCTACCTTTTCAAAGAAGCAGAGACTCTAAATTACAATTGGTGACTGAAAGAAGCTTATTCACAAGCTTGAACAAAAGGCCCCAGGTGCTTCAATAGAAACAGCTTGTGTGTAAATCAGATGAGTGACCCAACAGAACAACTTCATTTACAGCCTGATCTCTGAAAATCTCAGCGTTCCCCATCCCCAGCCACCGACCAAGCTGCATGTCAAACACTTGCTTTTGTCCTGACAGCTCCACAAACAAGGGGCTGGCCTCAGCATTTCCTGTTTGAAAACAGACTGACAAAATCCTCTCCTGAACCCGTGTCAATCTACAGCCTTTTTTTTTTTTTTATTTTTAAATCAAAATGGATGCACAAAGCACTATGAGTTTTGACTGCGGCCAGATGGGAATGCTAG